GCAAAGGAGTCTGGTGGAGACTAATGTGCCGGATAGAAATCGCTTGGGAACCAATCACATCACCCCCCCCAAAAAAAATGATGCTTTTTCTAGTTCGGGGTTTCTTTTTTTGGGGGGGGGTGAAAAAAGAATTCCAGTGCAAAAAGAAACCACGATAAAACAAGCCTAAAAACACGCCAAAAATAACCCAAAACCCAAACCTCTGCTTGGAGAGTATCACAATGCAGGAAAACACTTCACAGCGTCCTGAGGAGCTCCGGCTCCACGTCTCCATGTCATCTCTCTTCCCGGGGTTGTGGTTTGATCATGTAACTTTCTATCATTAGTTTCAGTTTCAACCGTACCCTGGTTGCTAGACCCATGATAGCACGCTAAACCGAGGTTTAGGAGCAAAACAAGCCCAGAAAACGGCCGGAGCTTTCTTAAAGGCATCTAATGCTTTGCATCAACCCTATCCCATACCATACTGATATCTGTGAAGCAAAAATTTGATGTTGCTGACGGAAAAGTATATACGTATACGCAAGTCGCTAACAGCTGCTTGTTTTGTACCGTAGGCTGGGCGTAGCTATTTATGGGTGGTACCCAAACTAATAATAAGATCTTTAACGCTTTTGCCGGCCATACTACGTAGCGGGTACAAACCTTCTCTGGGCGGCTGATTATAGTAGGATGACCGGCAAAAGATCGCCTTACAAATTCTACAAAACGCAGTATAAAAACTCCCACCCGCCCGGAGGCCTGCACAGGAGGCTAAAGAAGATGCCCCACGTACTTGTTTTAAAATTGCATTTCAAACGCTTTAAGTTTAGGATGATATCAATTTAAAAGTCAATATCAGACACCTTTCTTCATCCAGAGTATTGTCAGTTTTGCCACCCTAAAATTGCATTCATGGATAACTGTTTTTGTAAAACGGAACGGAACTTTCCGTCCGTCACAAACACGGAAGGGGTACGCTCATCCACAGTCCGACATGATCATCCAGGCAAAAACCGTAACAATTCCCGTCTCGTGTCACCGAAACTGTCCTCCACACAAACATCGTCTGTGTGTTCTCTGACCCCCTTCCGAATGGAACGAAACCATTTACCTGAATTGCCATTTTATTAACAAAAATAATACACACACTAACCTAACATTACAGGACATGATTCGCTTGACCCGGTAGCCAATACCCATTTGAGTACTGACTTGTTTTCATTATCTTTCTGGCACCATCGCTGCTATTGGCAGAGGAGTTGGGCAAATCAAACGCCCATCTGATTCTGATTGTTTTAAGATGGTTAGGTGGTAACAGTATAGAGAGTACGACATCATCAATTGATAATGCTGCATCAGTTTTATTACGACCATATACATTTTGGCATTGATTACCAGGTTGTCTATTATAACGTTCATTTGTCACAGCTGTGTTTGCCGTCCCCGCGCTCCAGCGGCGGTGTGACGCGGGGCAGGCCGGGCACAGCCGCGGGGCAGGCCGGGCACAGCCGCGGGGCAGCCGGTAATCTATATAACCTCGTCGGCCGATATCGGACAGCGATCACAATCTAGAAATCATTATGAGTCAAGCCGGGGCAAATCAAAGGAGACCCCATGCGCATCCGCACCGGAAAATTGAAAACAACCGCACCGCTGACCGCCCGGTCCCCTTGCGCCGGGGTCCGTCAGGACTGCAACTCAAACAGCCACGCCACGGAAAGTGCAAAACAATGAACTAAACACGCAGGAATCAGAAAATGTTTGGACTTTTTTTTATTACTTTTATATCAGTACTCACTTGCAAAACTTCAAGCGGCACTGAACAGTTGCGTTTGAAACGGCAGTGACTTGGTCGCGGGAAACAGGATAGAGCCACATTCAGACCTTTCCCCCGACCACCAGCCTACCAAGGTTGGCTGAAGATTGGGAGCAGTCCGACCAGATTGAGACTTCGCTTACCTTTCTATATGAATCGAATCAAATTTGAGTTAAAATTTGAGTCAAATGTGACTGCCAGCCACACCCCGATCTACTCCCGAAAACTAACATTTTGAAACATTTGGCTATCACGACCCAACAGTACCCAACAAAGCTGCAGCCAACCGTGTTCCCACCCTTCTCCTAAACCATGGCTGTGTGTGTGGTGGGGGGGGGGGGGTCGGCTTTGTGACAGAGGCTTAAATCTTGTTCTCCAGCAAGAAGTAGTTTGCTAATCAGATCGGTCTGTTAAAAGTATGAATAAATAGTACCATACATATATTATAACTTGCGTAGCATGTTAGGGCCTTATAGTAACGCCATCGTGTGAGGACTATGAGCATTCTGCCAGGGAAGTCAGACGGCCACTTCTTCCACGTTGTGTTTTCCCTCCGTCCATCACCGACTTTTTGAAATGCCTCGAAATTTCTTAACATGGTACAAAATAAGTCAGGCATGTGGAAGGCGGAGAGTTCTAAAAGCGTGTGAGACTTACGGTGATCAGGCAGATCAAACGTGAACGTCATCAGAAGCCATCATCGTGACTTGTGTTTTCTTAGTCATATAATATTTGACGCAATTGTTTTTTCCATAGATGACAACCAACATTCTGACGACAATTTCGATGACAAAGAGTACACCAACATGGACGACGAACAGCACAAAGTACGATCATCAGCCACGGACAACAGCGGCGACAACAAGGACACCACAGAGGAGGGGGCGAACGGCGAAGGCGAGCCGAAAACAAAGAAGAAGCGTAGAAATCGCACGACTTTCACGAGTTTCCAGCTGGAGGAAATGGAAAGAGTATTCCAGAAGACACACTACCCGGATGTGTACATGCGGGAGCAGCTGGCGCTCAGGACAGATCTGACAGAAGCGAGAGTACAGGTGGGTACACCACGGAGACGGGGGAGTGGTGGTGGTGTGATTGGGTAGTGGTTGTACGTGCACTTAATGGTGTATAAAACGGCAAAACGCTGACATCGAACATCAGTGATCGCTACACACTTAAAGCCGCCTTCAATATGCTACACAAGCTATCACACAGGACCTACTGACAGGCTGTGTGGCAGGCTGACAGGCCGCGTGCTCCAGACGGCCTGTTAGATGATCCAGTATGTACCAAGCGCCCTTTCTGTCAGTTCTGTGTGTGTTACACGGCCTGTCTGTCAGTTCTGTGTGTGTCACGCGGCCTGTCAGTCGGTCCTGTGTGTGTCACACGGCCTGTCTGTCAGTTCCGTGTGTGTCACGCAGTCTGTCAGTCAGTTCTGTGTGTGTTACACGGCCTGTCAGTCGGTTCTGTGTGTGTCACACGGCCTGTCAGTCGGTCTGTGTGTGTCACGCGGCCTGTCTGTTAGTTCTGTGTGTGTCACACGGCCTGTCTGTCAGTTCCGTGTGTGTCACGCAGTCTGTCAGTCAGTTCTGTGTGTGTCACACGGCCTGTCTGTCAGTTCCGTGTGTGTCACGCGGCCTGTCAGTCGGTCCTGTGTGTGTCACACGGCCTGTCTGTCAGTTCCGTGTGTGTCACGCAGTCTGTCAGTCAGTTCTGTGTGTGTTACACGGCCTGTCAGTCGGTTCTGTGTGTGTCACACGGCCTGTCAGTCGGTCTGTGTGTGTCACACGGCCTGTCTGTCAGTTCTGTGTGTGTCACACGGCCTGTCTGTCAGTTCTGTGTGTGTCACGCGGCCTGTCTGTTAGTTCTGTGTGTGTCACACGGCCTGTCTGTCAGTTCCGTGTGTGTCACGCAGTCTGTCAGTCAGTTCTGTGTGTGTCACACGGCCTGTCTGTCAGTCGGTTCTGTGTGTGTTACACGGCCTGTCAGTCGGTCCTGTGTGTGTCACACGGCCTGTCTGTCAGTTCCGTGTGTGTCACGCAGTCTGTCAGTCAGTTCTGTGTGTGTTACACGGCCTGTCAGTCGGTCTGTGTGTGTCACACGGCCTGTCAGTCGGTCTGTGTGTGTCACACGGCCCGTCAGTTGGACCTGTGTGTGTCACACGGCCTGTCAGTCGGTCCTGTGTGTGACACACGGCCTGTCTGTCAGTTCTGTATGTGTCACACGGCCTGTCTGTCTGTTCTGTGTGTGTCACGCGGCCTGTCAGTCGGTTCTGTGTGTAAACGTGTACTACAGGGCCTGTCAGTTCGGTCCTGTGTGTGTCACACGGCCATTTTGGCATACATTGCACATAACACAGATTACATTTTAGACGTTACCAGGTTCTATACTAAACTATGTGTTCTCTTTACTTGTCACTAGGTATGGTTCCAGAATAGGCGGGCTAAATGGAGGAAGAAGGAGCGGTTCCACCAGATAGCCGGGATGCGGCAGACCACGGTGGGGGCGGGGCCGTACCTTCCGGTCCAACCACGGCCGAGCTCTTACTCCCAGGTCGGTACCGGGTGGGGAGGGGGAGGGGGAGGGGTGATACTGATGTGCTCGTCTGTAGGCGTGACGACGAAAGCAGAACGCACTGCGCTTGGGCTAATCCCGGATTTTTCACTGTTTTCTTCTTGGTCAACGTTGAAGTTGAACGTTGTATGCAAATTTTGTCCGTTGCACACGATATCCGCATTCTGACACAACATTTGAAAAGTATAGTAAATGTTCTTAAATTTCCGAATACAAAATGACTAGTAAACTGGAAATCCTCGCTAGATACCTTGAAACAATTAGATGTCGAAAGACTAGGTGTAACACAAGTCGTTCGGTGTAATATAGCCAGCTGCCGCCGCGCTTCGATCCTGTGATGCTGGTGTGTTACTCTGAAGGGCGGTTATACTGGCTATACAGATACAGATACAAAATACAAGCTTGAACAAGACGTAAACGTTCTTCACAATACATTGTGAGTATACAGGCGCAGTGCGTTCTCCTGACATGCTAGGCGTAAAGAGGAACTACCCGCCCTGGCAGGGAGAACACACGTCTGGTCCAACAGCTTTCTCTTTATCCGCGAAAACTCACATCTGAAATCAGCAAATGTCGCCAAAGTTTAAAACCCCAGTACTTTGATTGCTTTGCATTTGGGGTGACTCAAAAGTTTGGTGAACCAACGACATGCTAGTGAGATAATTCTGGTGACAAATTCAGATTAGTCAAAGGCTTTCGAATGGTTTTAAACGTTACACCTGCAAAAGCTACCACCTATTGCACCATAGAATTAACGGGTCTACTGCTGAGATAATTCTTGGATTTCTTACAATTGGTATAACTGATTTTCACCTTATGCAAAAGCGATCTGCTGGCATTATTGAGTTTGCAAACTGCACAATATGCCACACATTACTGAACTTTTGTGTCACCCTGTTGTAGATCACATTCCAACGCGCCGAACATAGCAGTTATACAAGGAGCCCGCAACATTTGGCGAACCCTCCACTCCCATGGGTGTAAGTTCAGGTTAGAGCTAACAACTTGTTTCCGTACAGATGTCGTGATCCCAGTAGTAAATTGTGCATTGCCTGTACTGCGGTAGACATGATGAGAACAAAGATTATTTGAACGACATATGCCTGAACAGAGTATGTGAGGGATAATACCTAGGGCCACACCAATTTAATTTGTTGGTTCTCGGATTTTTTCAGAAAAAATATGAAGCGACAGGGCGAAAAAAAATAAAAATAAAAACAGGTCTAGGCATCCTATTATAGGCTTAAATGGTACGAAATGAGCCATGAAGTCAACACAAAAGGCTGGGTTAAAATTTAAACATTGAATTTTGAACTTTTAATCAAACCACTGCAATGATAGATGAGAAAACTGTAACAACTAGGAAGAAAAGGACTTTCCTCAACTGTTGGGGGGCAAAACATGAGCATTTTTCACTTGATTCAGGAAAAGAATGAATTTTTTTTTTTTTGCAGATCAGAAAAAAACGAAGAGGCGAATCCGAGAACCAACAAATTAAATTGGTGTGGCCTAGTCTTGACGTTCGGGACCTATTGTTTCCACAGCGCCACCATGCGACAAGGTGTCGTAGTTCATTCAGGTCCTGTAAGGTAGCTGATGTGTTCAAGGCATTGCAATGCCATTTCAGGGTGGCAAAAATATTCTGGCTGAAGAAGTCTAATGTTAACTTTTACTGCCATTTCTTTGCACATTTTTGTTATCATTTCATACTTTAAGCGTTTAAAATAGCCCCAAAACAAGTTACATGACAAGCCCTCTATTTTTGGTACTGCCAATTGATACAAGCAACATTTTTTCCATCAGCGACATCGCGTTTTTGCCTCAAAGACATCAGTATGCTATGGGATAGGACTTACTAAAAATGGGCAGAAAATTGACCAGTCCCTGAAATTGCATTGCATACCTTTAATTTCAAGCCTCGATTATATATACGATAGGATGTTGAAACTGTATGTTCTTTCTAAAACCTTTTGTTGTTAGAATGAATTGTGACGGCTTGTCTTCACTTCTGCAGGTCCACACGTCATCCTGGGGAGGGGCGAGCAACTCCTCCTGCATGTCTCCCCACACCAACCTCCCCAGCTTCATGGGCGTGGCCACGCAAGCGCAGTCGTCCCTCCACGCCATCTCCCCGATGTCCACGAACAGCCCAGACTCCCTGACCAGTGCGCAGCGCCCCCTGGCGTGTGCCGAGGCAGACAGAAGGAGCTCCAGTATAGCCGCTCTCAGACTGAAGGCTCGGGAACACAGCGTGGCGCTCAGCATGATGGGAGATGATAGGAAACACGGAATGATGGGATTGCCTGTGTACGAGCACAGTTTGACAAGCGCCCAAACACGTCTCTAAAGTAGATATTTTCCCCCAATATTACCCACCCTAGCAGGAATATCATGCACCCCAAATTCTTTCTCTGTTTTTCAGGGTTTCGAAGAAATAAACTGTTTTCCTCATGTCAAAACATAAACATGCAAATATTTGAATGACATGCAGCCACTTTCGAGCTCTCTCATTGGCCGAACCTCTAATTGTCATGTTATCATTGGTTGAACTGATGATTGGTGGATGGTCAGGAAAGTTCCATGGTGCAAGAAGTGATGTATGAACATCTGTCCTGATGTTCCTAACGAGTACCTAACCAAGCAACCAAGCAACCAAGCAACCTATCAATAAATCAATCAGTTTTTATTCAACACCAACACCAGCATAACATTTTCATAAATAGCAACAATGCAAAACCTCTCATCAAATTCAAAACATATACACCACTTCTAATTGTAATACTGACGTAAAATGTACAGTCGGTTTCAACGTTGTAGCTTTGATAGTTAAAAGAATAGACGCTGTCGGCATTTGACAAAAGCCGTGTTTTGTGCTGAAGCTGTGATAACATATCAAACTGTTCCGCCATGTTATCCTGAAAGTTCACCTGTGTTAGTATAAGTCATTATGAGGCAAAGTCAAACTGTAATTGCCAACACAAGAAATTGGAATTACCCAAATGTTTACCACCCCCTAACAACCATCGCTCAACAAAGACGGGGGGCACCACAGACTTTCTGAAACCTATGACCCACTGCTCATTCACGTGAGTCATCTGCATAACGTGACGTCAAAAAACGGTGGGTCTCTCATTCTCAACAATGGAGTTGTACAGTCGAAAATTTTCTTATGAATAATTCTTATGTTGGAAATTACACTATAAACTTGCTTCATAATGTTTCACCATCTGTTTGTATAAACTACACACATCGATGGTCTTATTTGGATTGTATCTCCGTCTAGCTGGACATGTCACACATACAACATATTGTAAAATGCAAAACAGACCATTTCTGATATAAGAAGTAAAAGGTGTAGTGAATACCGAGCAGTTTGTACGTAGTCCAATTTTTGTTAAATCATTCATGAATATGTGTAACGTTACAAAACAATTCAGTGTTACATGCAGTCAATACAAGTTCAGAACAATCTGTAAAAAGCTAGCCGTCAACTACACGCAGTGTACAAATGACAACTATTACTTTGTACTACATGTGAAATTGATTTTGCATAACAAAGGCCTCACATAATTCATAAGCCCCCAAACATTAAGTTTCTATCCTTCAGTACTAGAGTATGACAGTTTCACGTAAGAATGCCAAAGAAGCCATTGATACGTAGAACTCGAGTCCCGTACTTGTCCTAACTTTTGTGGATAGTTTTATCAGGTCGGAGAGTCAATGGACGTTAGGGTTCTTTTTTCGCAACCACAGGTGCAACATCCGCTAACAGGACAAACACTGCACAGAATGCTATCTTTAAGTACATTGTAAAGGTTGCGTAAATGTACACGCAAAGGAATAAAAATGGAACCTCTACGCATGCATTAAGGCGTGCTTCAGGAGTTGATTTTTTTTGTACTGAGACCCAAACGTTGGCAGGTGTTTGTTACGTCAATATGCTATAGCCTTGTGTTTACTAGCTGTCTACAGAAGTAACCTTGTTGGCCAGCTCACAATAGAATTGCCTCATAAATATGTCTATGCAACATAATATCTGGTTGTGTGCTAATGTCTTTTTTTGGTGATTTTTTTCACGTCACAGTCACAGAAATAGGCTGATGGGACATCTATAAAGTTTAACTCATTGATATGTACAGATGTAAAGTCGTAAATGTCATGTAATCACTGTTCAAATGTTCACTACATTAAACATTCCAAATGTACAGTTGTTGTGTTTCCTTGTAAGACGTGAGTTGAATACAAAGTTATTATCTAAAGACCTTTCATGCAACAGAAGGTGGCCTTGTGTTCCTTTGCTGCAAATAGAAGTAGGCAGGCATTAAAGCGGCATTATGTAACACTAGGACTGGACGATACAAAATCAATTTTCTGGTTATTTCTGATAAAGTTGAATCAACCAAACTCAACTGCAAATAAGTGCCATTCAGTAAGTGGAAGTCCCAAAATATGACTCTAAAAGATGAAAACACAGCTGTCAGCCATGTTTGTTTACATTCTGGTAGTTTGTGGTGGCACCACGAACTGGGTGCGCCTTGTGTGGGATGATTTAGCGCTAAAAATAAATGTCATAATTTTATTAATTTATTTGAGATAATTGCACAAACCACACGAAGATTTCTTTCAATCAAAATATTTATGTTACATAATAATGCCCCTTCAAGTTACAGAATGCCACACCTTGTCATACGCGTAGCAGCACTGAAATATCAACCTATTTCGATGCTGATGGATTTGCTATAAATCCTATAAGTTGTTTATGTATGGAATAAATTTACAGAATCACACCCTTAAGCTTAGCGTGGCGGCTGGTCCTGTCTTTCCTGCCCATGATAATGTATAATAGATTTCAAGATATCGCATGCTGCGTAGCCGTTACCCCTTGCCTGTGCTGTTGTGCTTCCCGGTGTATGATGCCGACCTTTCCCGGGTCCCTGGGTCCCTGTGGCCGGTCCCAGGAGTGACCTGTCCGTCTCAGCCCTAAGGCTCCAACCGGGTATGACGGAGTCTTCACCACCAACAGTCCGACCCGGTCCGACCGTCTGTTGCAGCTGCCACGTGTCCGGCGAGTCTTGTCCCGACACTTCTCTGTCGTCTTCCGTTTTAATGCCCGTACTTAACTGTGACTGCAAACCTGCATGGTCAAGTCCCTCCTGCTTCTCAGCTAACCTTGAGACCGCGCCAGGTTCCTTCTCTGTTCTTGTTCCAGTGTCAGCCAATGTCCGAGTTCGACTGATCCGCCGCAACGTTTCCGAGGCCGTCAGCCAATGGTCGTCTCCTACAGATTCTGAGTTGGAATTTGAACACAACAATCCCGGCGTCACGTGCTGAGATGGCGCAGCCGACAACAGGTCAGTTCCCTGGACAGGCTGGTTGGTCACGACGTGTGGGTACTCAGGTAAGCAGGGCATTTCTTGAGACACGCGAGGTTCCTTTTCTGAGCTGATTGTATCGGAAGATGGTCTGTGTTTTTCGTTGTTGCCGTCTCCATCAGGCGACGTGCCAGCTGTAGTGCCGAGAACACCACCTTCCCCTGCAGACTGAGGACACGTTTCCTCCTTCTTCTGACCACTGAGGTCTCCCTTATGCACCTCAGTAGAGCTAACTCCACTGCCGTCCTTTCCTTTTTGGGGAAGTGAGGTGAGATATTCTCCGCACATGGACCTGAGTGTCTGAGACGCACCAATCCCCGCCCACTCTTCGCCATCCACGCCCCTTTTCTTACACCCGACGTCTTCCTCCGTGTCTCGGTAGGAGTCTCTGGTCAGGAGGCGCGTAAGAATCTTGTCCACGGACTTCCGTGACTGCAGGACGCCACGGCGCGAGGTTCTCTTGGAGCTGCGCGGTTGAGCAATGCCCCCTTGCGAGCTCCGTTCGTCAGTGCAAGGTCTGTCTGTCTCTCCAGGCATTTCGGGAGATTGCCCATGTTGATATCGTGGAGTCGGCCCCGTGGCTAACCGCCGTGATGATCTGTACTGTTCTGCGGGTCCCCGGCGAACTACTGGCGCCCCAGTCCAGGCAGCCCGCTCCTTACCTAGATGCCAAGACAATCACAAAAATGAGCAGCCTATACTTTTACAGAAGAGAGAATCAGCAGCTTTTGCAACTGTATAATTGATGCCAATTGACATACACGTATACATTTATAATTGGAGACTACTACTGTCGACCTTTCCTGGTTTTTACAGTTCATTTAGTTCAGAAAACGTCGGTCCTAGAAGAGTCTGCTATGGATGCTAGCACAAACAGGGATGGCCTTTTCAGTTTTTACAGTATATGTAAAATGTGACCAGATGTGTATTATGTTAAATCAATTGCATTTAAGGGCAAACCCCTCGAAAAACCTTGAAGGTTTTAGCTTTCTCCAGCCATTACTCTTATTATTTCCTGCAAATTAACTCGCTGTGACTTTTTCTGTGCAATATACTGCAAATAAGTAAATAAACAAAAGATGATGTTGTTTACCTGGGGGAGATGAGGATGCTGGTGATTCCAGGAGAGCCGCCAGTGTCGGGACTACAGCTGCCGTAGCCGTGCGCTGGTCCGGCCCGCGGGCAGGCCGGGTGTCTGGCGGTGAACTGCGGTGTTCCAAACGGCTGGTAGTGAAGAACTGACTCGTGTCTGAATCTGCCTGTTTTGGACCGGTTTTTTTCTGCCACAAGGAGAGCAAGGCGGACTCAGAAGTCTCATTGTCGTTTGGAAGAGGAGAGGGTCTGGCACGCTGCAGCTCGGTATCGGACATCTCTTGTGCCTGTTTATGTTGTGCGCACTCGTATCGCCTACTGAGCGTTTTCAGCAATTCTGCAGCGGACATGCCGATGGATTGTCCGTCTGTGTTGCAAGAAGCAGGAGGTGATTTCTCGCTGAAGCTTTCAGTCAGAACTTCCCCTCCGTCACCGGCCACGTCAGGGAGTGTCTCCCGTTTGACTGGTTTGTCGCACGTTAAACGTTCTTCGAAAAGTTGTCCGTGTGTTGCGACATTTTCTTCCAAGGCACATCGGAATGTCGGCCGACTTTCCTCCTCTGTACTTTCCGCGCCTGGCTGATTCTCCTTCCTCAAGACGCTTGTTGATCCGTCATGATGAAGTGATTGTTTATTTATAGCCCACTGTCCGCGTCCCTGCTCCCCAATGTCCGGGCCAACCTCCGGTTCAGCGTCTCCCCGGCTCCCGGCCGAACCTGCCGCAACATCGTAGCCGGGATCTTCCCTTTCGCGCTTAACGGTGACCGTCACGCCTCGGTCGTACTGAGACCTGCGTGACGCGCCCGTCAGGTAGCAGGCTTCTGGGTACACCTTTTTAGAGCCGCGCTGACGTTCTGCTGATGAGTGATGACTGTCCAGCTGTCGTTGTGTGGACAACTTGGTCTGTACACGTGTGGTATCTGTTTCCTCATCACCAGGGAGGATCTTGTCGTCGAGTCTTGCTTTTTTTGCCAACCCGGATGAGCTTTCATCCTGACTTGGTTTACTGCCGTCCTGACCAAGTTTACTCTTGCTCCCTGTAGCCCGCTCTGTGTGAGGAGCTGAAGCCCCGGCCAAGGCAGCTCCTTCTTGGAAGGACCGACTAAAGTGTGAAATCGCCTCTACCATTGGTTGAATCCTTAACATTGTGGCAGCCTCGAGCAGGTCGTCTGCGTTGTCGGGGGAGATGGTGAATTCTGCCATGTAGATAAAGCGGAGGATCTCTTCAAATGACGACGCGCTCACAAGAGGCACGAAGGTCACATGATCCGACTGCATTTGTTGGCCGAGTAAAAACAAAGACTCGAAGTACGAGCTGCTTGCGGCCAAAAGGACCCGGTGACATTTGAACGTTTTGCCCCCCGCACCTACTGTTACGTCACAGAATCTACCGCTGACACGGAAGGCGTCTAACTGTTTGAGGATCGCAGTCTGGTGGATCAGTGACTTGTACAGGCTGTTTTCCATGGTGGTCTTGGACGAATTCTACACGAACTAACGTGTCACCTAGAGAAAAAAAAAAACAGTTTCAGACAGATTTCAAATGGAATTTCCAGTAACAGTCAAGGCATGAACATGTACTGCTTCTATGACACAGATTCATGCAGATTACGCTTTATTCGATTGTTTATCACAATTAAGTGATGTATTTTGATGCTTTTTATCTCCATAAGCAAAAGTAGCTCACCCCAATTTTCATAATGGAATATACCAACACAGATGAACTTCCATGCGTGCTAAGTCATGATAAGGTCATTAACTAAGTGACCAATGACCGTGTTGCCTCTTGATGTGTGATCTATATATATATATAGCCACATCTTCTGTAATAGTTTTACAGTTAAAGACAGATTTCAACTGGAATGTCCAGCATGAAAATAATGGACTTGCTCAAACCCCAGTCTTTGTCAAGAAATGAAGCCACTGCCTCTATCTATGGCGCACTTGTAAGCAGATTACGATTAATTCGATTGTGGATCAAATCTTATCAAATTTGATGCTATTTTTTTTTTATTCCAACATGTAATCACCAGACGTGGTGACGACACAATCAAATTTTTTCAACTTATATTAATGCCGCCACCAACACAGGGGACAAATACATGACAGGACAATACTCATTTACACCTGAGCTGAGTGGGGAAAGTCGTGTAAAGTGCCTTTCCCAAGGGCACAACATCGGTGGCATGTCAGGACTCGAACCCGGGACTGTAAGTTCCGAGTCGCGCACTCTGCCGCTACGCCACACGACCCCATACTATTTAGAGATGGTAAAAGAATTTTGACCTTGAAAAATTACTGTGCAACACCCCTCTATGGGTATAAGACCCAGCACAGGGGGGGGGGGGGGTGCGCTGCGCCCTTCATGACTCCTCAGGTGCAGTAGTACGGCTTCATTGAACTTGTCAGGCTCTGAGATTTTCGATATATTTTGCTTCCTTTTCTCTCCTTGCAAAGAGTCTGGTTCTGTGTCCATAATATTTTGCTTTGTCTACTGGAATGGTGTGTCCAAGCGACTCTATATTTAAATACCGCACTGGTGATTTACCGTTCGTAAGGTTTGGTTCTTTCGTGTTGAAAATTACAGTAAAAATCCTTCCTCTACCGAGAAATTACCCTGGGTGCCAAACTAGTATCGGGCCGTTAGCCGTTTTCCTTCGGCAGCCAAGAGCCCTTCGCCCGCCTATCTAAATTACAGCTACCGGTCGTTGCTATAGGGCCAGCCAAACTCCCGGGCTAGTCTCCCCCGTAGCGATAATTTAGACAGGCGGGAAAAGGGCTCTAGGCTGCCGAAAGGAAAGGGTTAGGGGCCCGAAACGTGTTTGGCTTCCAGGGTACCAAAAAATATAAGCTTTCAGGCAATTTTAAATGTAAACATGCATTTGATATCTTCCCAGTGGGGTACGTGACATGCATGCCAGCATATGTCGCATTTCAGAACGCCCGGCATGTAGTTAGACATTTCAGAACGTACGGAGTGGTGGCGAACACGGGTAACTTTTTGAAAATGAGCATGTCAGTACTAAAAGAAATTTTGATGTGAAAATGATTCACATGTACATGTACATCATTCATGCACGAATTACACCATTGATCTCAGTCAGTAGGCTCAGAAATATCATGTCATGGATACAACGTCCATATACTAGTACATGTATTGTTCCATTTCAAACAAAGTACCCTAACTTAGACATGCATCCAATTAAGTCGCTCTTAAACTACTCTACTTAGTTAAATTTAAAGTAAAAATAGGACTTACGGGAAAAATGACTTTCAATCTTACTTTGCTAATCAAATATTTGTCTTGCGCAACTTTTATCACCGTTTAGTCTGCACTATTATATTAGATATTTCACTGTTGGGTGGGGGTTGGACTTGCGCTGCTAAAAAAACAACTATTTGAGCCAGAAATGATTGATGCTGTCAATAAGACAAACCTTGTGTACTATACTGACCCCAGTACAATCAAATGGATGCATCATTTTGACGCGGAAAAATACGGAAGTAAGGCTGGAGGCCTGAATTAATTTTCACACACAAAAACACCACGTCTTACGGTTCAGCCATGTTAGTATCTGTTATTTTTTTTACAACAGATTACGTAAAATGTCCCCTCAAACTTGGACACTCAAAACCCTTTCGTCACTTTTTCACCGCGCAGTTCCACGGACCGAAGTCGCGGAAGAACTGGGGTGCTGCTTGACATAATTTTAAAAATGACAACCATGCAAATTATGATCTAATTTGTATAATTGACAGTGAAATCTTAAAATCTGCTGCGTTCCATAATATTTATAACTGTTCAAACTTGTGCATAATTAAGACCGAGAGGAATATCGGTTGATATTATATGTAAATGAAGACCTAATTTTCACAATTAGGCCACAGCAAGTAAATTTTATGGATGACATCCTCCACAGACTTCAAATCTAATGTGAGCGGGCGAAAAAAAACAAGGTTACTACATTTTAAAATTCAATCAAATTCAATCAATCATTGTATAAATGGTTTTGATTCATTGGGAACATCACATATACACAGCCAACATCACACACCACTGCATCAAAGTAAAAAAAACAACACATTAAATCAGAGCCTTTTCTTGTCTCCTCTCTTTAAAGTTATCTGCCATACACCTTCAGGCTTGTCAACAGACATCTTTGGACATTTTCGGCATGTTGACCACTGTCAGAACGCAACAAAATTTATTGTTTTTTTTCCAAAATCAGGCGAAAATTAATGCGCGCGCTGATGTCATCCATAAAAATTACTTGCTGTGGCCTTACTTATAAAGTTACAAGGATACAAGGATAAAGGTTACAAGTTAACATATTCGGAGCATTCATAATTGATATGAAAATGCCAGATTGTCATTGGGTGCAGTATATGACCATCTGATCAATTTATGCAAATTTTACTTGCATAATCAATGAGAAACATTTATAAGTGGTAAAGTTAACATCATTTGGTGAAGATATGAGTCACCGCATGACGTCGTGGAACGTGTAATTACATTTGTTATGCCCCGTTTATCAATGCAATAAATTCGTTGTATGAAATGTTGACCAGTCTGGTATTGTTGATCTCTACGTCTAACCAGATCTTTTTGTGTCCGGAAGATAGTATCAGATTGCCATAACAGTATCCATTTGCCACCCAAAATTTGGCTGGCGTAAAAAAATGACAATGAACTTTGGCCAAGGTACTATATTACTGTATTACGTCTCTTCTGTCTTTCCGAAACGTGAAGACAAATTTAGAGAGAAGACGATACGACCTTAACACGGTAAAATAAAAAGAAACCTCCATAAAACGCCTAGAAACATGTCAAAAACGGAAATGATTTATGGAAAATGATTTTGATTTGTTTAAATCGGCCTTTGTTTATTATTTCATGTATCACATGTTTTGTTTATGTATTCCTTTCAGTTTGGATACCTGTGTTACTTACGGCTAACAACCCTAAGTGTTACTTACATAATAAATTTTGATTTAAGTTTATTTCCTCTTTTATATTGATGATTTTACTGTAACTTTGCTGGGCCCCATTGAAAATCAATTTGACTTGCAAATTGAATGGGCTACCCAGCTGTCTGAAGATTAAATAAAAAAGAAGAAGAAATAGATAAATAAAAAATAAGCGGACGCCTAAACAACTGCTTTGACAGTACGGTATGTTGACTTTGTGTTTCCTTTTATATCTTTATTTTGTCCCCTCGTTCGATTTGTTGATTTCCGGAAATCCGACAACCATGAAATCAAATTTGATTGGCCTCAGTCTCTCCCTGTAACAATATACGAGCGATCGCTGTTTTTGTTTACATCATGTTCACGCAAATTATCGTGAAGGAACACGCATTATCAGGCAAATCACCCAACTGTTACCCGATTTTTGCCTACCAGTCGCTGGCCGTGACGTCATGCTCGTACATACAAACCGATGTAACGGCCATGACCTTTGATATGCGTAATCAGGCAGTAGTAAACATTGGCGCGGTACTGTATAACGTCAACCTCTAACACAAACCACGTTACACGCTCTAGATACTGGATATATTATCGAATCCGTAACCTAGATACTGCACTGCGCCTTCTTCAACGTATATGCACATGTAGGTCACACTGAAGGTCACACGTCGTACACGAGTAATCTACTAAATACGCCGATCAAGATACGGGCCCAAGCTACAGAAACCCCGGTATAAACTGTTACCGATACCTGTAGAACTGCCTTGTTCAGTCCGCGGTGACCAGGTCACAGTCTTGGTAACGAAAAAACGTCAAACAGCAGTCAACGTACGACAAATTTTAACCCAACGCAAACGGCGGTGACCTTTCATAGCTTAGGAACTTTGATCTTTGACCCAAAGGTCATATGCGGTCAAAGGTTACCAAGCGCCCTGTAGGGGCTATCGTGGTAGCTCCGAGGAGTTGTGATTTGATAGCTCCACAGAGGGTTCCACGCAGCGGCAGTTGCGAATGTACTACCCCCGTTTGTTCAATTCTCTCGGCTTACCGTGGCTGTAGTACACAGACAGATGTGTAATGTTTTGTCTCCTGTTGCATGGGATCCTGGCGTTTCTCGTTTCAGCTTGTTTATTCAAGGAGTGTGGTAGAACGTCCTTGGTTATATTTACCGCACAGCCAAATCTCGCTTCTTGGCGCATCGGTGTCAACCTGAACATCAGGTACGAATGTCAACATATAGAAATTTGCCTTGTCAAAGCCGAGCTTATTAAATCGGGTCTCATTTCGGGTGACAGGCGCAGGTATCGTCAGGTATGTTGGGACATGTGGGCCATCATACATCATCATATATGAATGAGTAGAGTATTGAATTCGAATCATTTGAGCCAGGTATATTGGGAGGGGTTCTTTTCCGTGTTCTGTAGCAGGTTTCACTAATTCGTCGCGAGGGAGGAAGCAGGTGTTGCATGAAACGAAGGTGGTAATCAGAATTTGCGCGTAAGTTCTCTGAGTTTTGG